CACTTCAATCAATATAAGCTTGGTGGACAAAAGTAAAGGGTAAGATTTTGTGTATCAACTGCCATCATTTTGTGTTTGTGTTTCTTTTCATCAGGGTTTCACTTTGCATCGTTCACAAAGCCTGGGTTGGCTAATTTCACCCAATACAGGCCAATATAATGACATGAACCTGTAACTTAAAAGCGGCACTAATCAGTATTTTTATATTAGCACATGAATCAAACAACTGAAAAATGACAGCTGCTGCTCATAGTCACAAACTCGGTGAGAATTATCACCCAACTCTGCAATTCTACTCAGCTCTTTGGAACATTTTAGCATCTTTAAAACCATTGAGTTGGTTTAAAGGCCCATAACTCATTTCATCAACCTTGCTTCCACCTGCAGGTACTGTTATCATCTAAAAAGCTCAGATAAACTCTCTGAACACTACTGATCTAGCACCAACTGTGTCCTCAAGTTCTGCTGAGTTTTTCTTGTCTCTGTTTGCGTCTCTGTCTCTTGGCTGCTTCTTCCCACCCAGGAAACAACTTCAATCAAATGCAGCTGATGAGCAAATAAAGAACTCTTGTCCTTATCTTGCTAAAAGTAACCCTGCCCTGAGAATATATGCTGTCACACTGTTTACCTCACAGTTTTCTCTGCAGGGGTCCCAGACCTTGGCTGTAAAGCAGAGGAGATCACTGAGAGCGCTTGTTGAGCACAGTGAAAGGAGATGTTGTTAAACAGCCAGATGGTGAACAGTAACCCTGTTAATCTTCACAACCACAACTTCTCTTATTAAACAGACAATAGCAAACTGCCCCTTGTTTGAAATACATTTTATATGGTCCCTAGTCAACAGCAATGCCAGACATTTTCACTGCTCAAGTGTCTTTTTTCTGATTTTGTTTACTTTGATCTAAAACAAAAAAGATCAGATCAGAGCCAGACCAGAGCTGCCAGGCCCAGCTGGATCTGATCACCTCCACTTCTCTGTCTAGTCAGTGATTTAAGACCTGTACCTGGGAGTCTAAAAGCAAACTGAGAGCTTTTCTGATTCTCCAAAGTGGCCAGTTGTTCTGAAGCTCGGTTTCTGTCAGCACCTGAAATGAACAAAGATACAAGCAGCAGACCAATCCTAGAGTACAACTGAAGACAGCTACTGCATCGAAGGATCACACACACACACACACACACACACTGATGCTGTCTGCCATCCACAGAGCAAATTCAGACATACACCCCACATAAAACAGGTAAAAGAAACAAAAGCACATTTCAGGTGCAAGAGGCAGTGACTGTGATGCTACACAACCTAATTGCTTCTCAGCTTAGTGATACTCAAAACAAACTGACACCAGAAACCACTCCTAACCACTCTGTGCCCCTTCCATCATGTTCTGTTTCCTAGCGACGATGTAGACTACGGATGCCTGCTTGCAACACACTGTACAAAATTTATCAGTCCAGTAGAAGGCAGCTGTGGCTCAAGCGGTTAGAAGGTTGGTGGTTTGATTCCCGGTCTCCCCAGTCCACATGTCAAAGTGTCTTTGGGCAAGACACTGAACCCCTAGTTGGCCCCGATAGCCAGGCAGCGACTGAAAGCACTGCCATCAGTAAGACATTTCCCCATGGGGAAAAACTTTAAAAAGAACGCTCTGATTACTGCTAATGTTACACAAGTCTCAAACTACTCCCAGATTAAAATCATATTTATTCAATGCAAAGGTAAAATCATGACCAGTGTGCATAATACCAGGGGTCTCAGAACCCCAGTTGACAGCTCAAGCCCTCAGAAAATCTCAAAATGAAATTTTAGGGGCGTTCTCAGAAATGTGCCTAGTTATTTTCTATTTATCTACATATAACAATTTAAAGTATTTCCATATAGGTTGTTTTTAAAATTATAGGCTACAATAAAAATATATTTTAATCATTGCATTTATGGTGTTGTACCAAAAGTGATCCTCTGCAGGAAACAGATTACGGTCTGTAGTAGCATGCAGGCGGTAAAACCTTAGTTAATGCACCTTTAAGACCTGAAATCTGTAGTATGTAAAGTCTATAGCATCACTTGTAGCACACACACTTACAGAGGAAGACAAAAGACCAGTTTACACTTAGATTATAAAAATGAACTCACAGTAATAGACTTCTGTGTAATAGTGAGATGTTTTATTACTCAGTCTTAATAAAAAAAATCCCGGTTTAACCTGTCAGCTGTTTACATCACAACTTACTATGAAAATATGTACAAGGTAATAATCTTTTTAAATGTAAAAGTACTTGTTTTTTGAGCCTCACTCTCAAAGTGGGGCTGCCTGTGTCATCAGTGTTAATTGAGGACCACTTACCAAAATGAAATTGTGGTGTCTGGTATGGTCAATTATGAACCATCGCTTAAGATGATGCCTTTTTGGTCTGTTTGGAGAGATTCACAGCCAGAGCCACATGTGTACTAGTGGTGTGTAAAATCTGTCAAGTTCATCCAATTGACACCATAATAGAGATGCGATAGATCTATCGCTATATTTCAAGGAAAAGTTCACTCTAAAGTACAAATTCTACTGTTCACACAACTGCCGCACTGGCCAGGTGTGTACACTGAGTGAGTTAGCTAGACCTGCTCAGTGTCAGCCTCCTCCAAAATGTCTGAAATAACCTGAAACTGGTTCATTATAATGTAAACGAAACAAACAAAACTGTGGTATATTCTGATTATTTTAAGTAATTTTAAACATATATGAACAAGCGGTTTTTCCTGTGGAAACAAGGATGTCACTACACTGAGATTGCAAGGGACCACAAGAACCCAGGAGGCATGTGTTTGCGTGGGTGTATGTAAAGAGGGTGTGTGTGTTATATGCAAAGCGATGACTCAATCTCATCTCTCGCCCCACTCAATAAATGGGGTCTACCACTCTGGCTAATCACTCTGATGGTCTGAAGTGCTGACTGTCTGCAACGCTGCATTGATTGAATCCCATCCACTGACCCAGAGCTGCTAAAAATAATTACAAAACTCATCTTCATCTTCAGCCGTCATTTAGTTCCATTATAGGTGAGACACTGTTTTAACAGCAATTTTTGGGGGGGGCGTATCATTTGATAAAACAAACGCAACCTGTAATTTTCGTCAACCGTGAAGGCAACAACACACACCTTAACAGACTCAGCCCGGATTCAATCTGAATTATTATTTTATCCTCACTACACTGGCGTGTTTGTCTGCAAACTGTTTAGTGGAGGAGGTGACACCTGGTGTTTGTGAAGAACTGAGGAGGAGAGATTTTTATTTCCTACTGACTCTCCATTCACACAGCAGTGGGAATTCTCTCTCCAAATTTATTCTGCTATAATGTCATTTTTCTGCCATCTGCTCCCACCTGGGCACCTTTTATAGCAGGTCTAGGTGCTTCCCAGTTGGATTTACCTTGTGCAATGAGTTGTGGAAACAGTATAGTATTTCCATTGTATTACTATTAAATTTAATATGATTATTAAAGACAAAAAAATACATTTTATTAGAACTTTATTATTTTGATATTATTATGCTTGATACATCTATATATCCTATTTCTTTTTCATGTAAATGCCCCATTAATTGCTGTGAAGGGCGACAGGCAGGGGCGGCTTCCGATAGCTGCTTTCATTGTGGATCTCAAGCTGGTAAAAGACTCGGGGTTGATAAGCTTCAGTTCCAATGAATTCCTTATCGAGTCTATCATTCACTTTCACTGTTTATTTTAGTATCTGTAGACTCAGAGACTACAGACACCAACAAAGAAAGTAAAATATCCCAATGCCAATTGTTAACATGGTAGAACGCCTTAGACTTTCAAAAGTCAACAAGACAACTGCAAAATAATATCTGTGGCAGGCACTCATGTGTCAGCAGCTCGATGATAAAATGCTGTTATTGTGCTCTGTCTCTTACAGCATAGCGCCCAGTAAGTAGGGAGCACAGCTGTGTGTTTGCCTGTGTGCGACCTGAAGAGTCCAAGAGCATCTAACAATGGCTTTTAATTACTCGAAACATCTCACTACTGCTACAGTGATTAGTCGAGAGGAAAGTGAGTTATTCTGTTAAACACAAAAAAATCTAGCTTCTCAAATTGGAAAATTGGTTGCTTTTTTCTCTGACGTCAAAGTACATCGAATATGTTTGGAATTTGGTCAGACAAAAACCGTTTCTGATGTATCACTGACCAAACTATTACAAATGACATTAAATAGTGTGCAGCAGATGAGCACAACTCTACCCAGTGAAACCACTTGGGAATGATCTATGTCATGTTTTACCTCACTACAGTACATTTAATTAAGGAGGCGGATACTTTCACAGATGCTGCCTCATCAGGACCCCAAGCTGAATGCAGTATTTTGCATATATTAAATGTATTTCAATTCGAGAACCACTTTTAAATGTCTGAGGATATTTGTTTGGTGTCTTTTACAGAGTCGGAGAAGCATATGGATTAGTTGTTTATAGTCGCTTCTGAAGGTGATTTGCATATTATGTAACACTGCTGCATATATCAGATCCATCCCATTCTCCATTTTCATTTGGCTGCAGACCAAATGAGGTTTCTACAGTACATAATACTGATGCAAAGAGGAAGCACGGAGAGAAAGTTAACTGCTGCAAGTGAATAAAGATCAGCCACTGATAAAACTTCAATTACAGACCCATCAAGCGGCATTCAAATTAGTACTGAACATCACACTCCAGACAAAATGCTATAAATAAATAGGTAATAATGTGTACAGGAAGATCTATTTGACAGTAATAGGGCAAGAAAAGGGCAAAGAGAGACAGTGAAGGTGAAACAGAAGGAACTGATTTCATCCCCAACAGTGCATCTGGGAGACAGTGACAAAATAGAGATGCGGAGACATCAGGGGATTTTTCCGTGGCATCCAAAGGGGCAGCAGATGATGACACATTGGTGACACACTGAGATGTTAACAAAAACAGACACACATACTGTACCACACACACACACAGAGATACTCACCAGGCCTGAGGTTTCCTCTTGAGCAGGCCTTGTCTCCTCCACTGAGAGTGGGGGCTGAGGTGGTACGTCAGCTGACGACAAACCTTCTCCATTGCCCCGAGAGAGTCGCCTTCCTGTTGGAAACACACAGACAGAGACACACAAACTGTCAGTTTGATCTCAGAGGACTGCGGAGGAAAACCTCCTGGTGTCCATACTGGAGCGAGACAGCGCTACAGTATCAGTGGTGAGAACATCTGGTTGAGCATCTGATGTTTTTAACACAACAAATCAGACATGACTCACTTCTGTGTTGAAAAAGTGACTTCCTGCTATTAGCCAACATCTGACTGATATCATGCTGGGCTTGTTGCTAACAAACACTGGTCAATACTGAAACCACTCTGTCAACACTATTCATACAATCTGCACGACCAACATGGATCCTGGCCAAACACACTGACCTAGAACAACAGGGAGCAGCATATAAAAAAAACTTGATCACTGAAGTTTGAATGATTTTTACCTCAATCAGTATTTCATTGTAGAATGTGAATTAACACCTCTTTAACCAGAGGTGGAAAGTCACTAAGTACATTTACTCAAGCACTGTACTTAAGTGCAATTTTGAAGTATCTATACTTTTATTTTCTGCTAATTTATACTTTGACTTCACTACTTTTGGTACTTTACTTACATTTTGAGCTAATACTTTTGGACGTTTAACTCAAGTAACATTTTGTATCTAGGATTAAGAGTATTTTTACACTGTGGTACTGCTACTTTTACTTAAGTAAACAATCTCAATACTTCTTCTACCACTGTTTTTAACTTTATTGACTGTAGTCAAATAAACGCAAAAAGAACGAATCAGAAATACAGCAGTTTACCTCACTGTCTTTTATTTTTTATATCCTGGACCTTGCATAGAGCTAGTAACTGACTTGGGGAAAATAAAGAGCTGAAATCAAACAACAACATCAATAGAACAAACAAATTCCAGGGCTACAATAATACTGTAAACCAGCCTGCCATGGTGTACAACATGGTCAATAATTATGGCCTTTATCTCATCACAGACCACTGCTCTTGGCTGTCACCTCCTGTGTGTCCCTGCAACTCATCTTTCCTCCGGACTGTCTTCCTTGATCCGTGTTTTCCAAACAAAATCATTCCGAATCCGCCCCCCTTTCACTGTGTAAAAAATGGTAACGAGACCTCACACAGGACACCTGGGTCAGCTGTTAGCTGAAACTGCAATTAGCCATGTTTGCAATGATTGTTATTTCCCTTAAGGGTTTCTATATTTTTCAACATATTTACTGCAGAAATGCATGAAATTTGGCCTCCTGCTGTTTTGAATGTGTTTTTAAAGCCGTATGTTTGCACAGTGTTTTGCAGGTGGTGGAGTATGAATGAGAAACATTGACAATGTAGCTTCAGTTCTGATTAATGCATGTTAGCCATCAATTACACTTGTGTTTGACAAGTAAAACACCGAGTTATGTTTAATTTTATAGTGTGTCTAAGGTGGGTATCTTAATGCCAGCCTCCTGTGTACAGATTGTTGTTGATGGATGATTGATTATTGATTAGATTCTAAACCAAGAGGCTTGTGGAAATGAACAACACATAATGGGTAATTCATGTAGGCAATAATGTTTCTATTGGAGTCAGAGGATTTTATGCTGCAGCTATACTGTTCAGCGTTCACTTGGTCTTTTCCTATGTGAATCAAGTGTGTGGTACAATAATATCCTTAGTTCAGCTCACAGAAAAAGTCCAACATATGCAAGTGACAGGTTTTTTGTATATATGAGTGCACAGCATGGTTTTGACAGTGTCACTCAGCTAAACAGAGCTGCACAAAGAGACACCATAGAAAATGTCATGTTGGACATAATATTATAACCGAATAAGACAGAGCAGAGACGCGCTGCAACAGCTACAGACAGGAGAAAGACAAAAGGATGTAATTAAAGGGTTTCAGGACCAGTGGAGCGAAGAATTAGCAAGCACACCTTCTGTCAGTATCAGGTTTCTGATATGACAGGATACGCACATGAACACACTCTCACAGTGAGGCTGGGGAATTCCGCACTACATGGTGCGTTGACTGGCTGTGTCCACAACGCAGCCACCTGTTCTACTTAGTATGCTACATTCCATTCACTTTGTGCTATTAAGTCTGAGTGTGAACTGAACTAAAACATCATCAAGAGGAATGAAAAAAGTATAAAAGCATGTAATTCCAAATGTGGCAACCCTGATGTCCCTATATTCAGTCCATGATGGGCAGTAAAATGCTTAGCAACAGGTGCTGCTTCAAAGAAGCACAAAAATCCTCTTCAAAACATTTATTGTCAACTAAAAAGGTGGGAGTAAAAATCCCTCAAGACATTTATACTGTCCTCAGTGTCACAGGAAAGGTGCCGTTTTCCCCACTCTAACACATAGAAACACTTAATTATAAGAGGACTTTAGTACAAAAAATTCTAGATACCACATCTGCAAAAACATCTGCAATGTCAGACAGAGCAACCAGGTTAGTGACGCACTTCATCTCGACACATCTGCCTCAGTGTCACCACAACCAACACTGTACTCTGTGTGTGTGTGTGTGTGAAGCTTCTACTCAGATTAAAATGCATTTATTCAGGTGGTGAGTCAGGTTTGCAGGTCCCCAGTATCCAGTCTAAAGCAGATGGTGAGGGAAAGAAGTGATATCAACAAAAACATTCAGTGTTCCCTAAACTGTGAGGCACCACACTGTGTACTGCTCAGGTCAGTGGGTGTGCAAGTGTGGAAAATACTGAACTGGATAGTAAAGAATAAAACAATTTCCCCTTCAGACAGCATTTGTGAAAGTCAGTGAACTGATAAGCAGAGAAAGGGAGGCAGGGAAAAGTTCTTCCACTTCCTCAGCTGACAAATAAATTTTTCATTTTTCAGATGAATTTCAAATAGTGTAACGATTCCAGTAGGGAAACTGTGAAAATGTTCCTGTAACAGTATATGTGTGGTCAGACTATGCAAAAACGGTTGAGGGTACATTGTGAGAAAATTCATAGTGAAAGAACTCATTTTCATAACTTGTTTCATTTACATATATACAGTATATCTTTCCCTTAAAGCTACACTAATACATATTTTATACTGTACCCCAAATCACTTTGTGCAGTATGAAAAGTGTCACTCACTGATACAAACCCACAAAAAAGCTATCACCCAGCTCTTTCGTTCCCCTGAGTTCCAGAGCATTTTAGCATCCTGATTATTTTTACTCACCAGCGTGCACCTGGAAAGCACACTGAAAGCAACCTTCCAGCAGACTAAATAACAGATGAGTTGCTAAACACTTTAGCTGCTATAGAGTCTTTTTTTTTGGACTTTGTGGAGAAGTCTTTTTTGGGGGGGACTTTGTGGAGATCCAACAGAGCTACAGTACAAGGACGGATACAGTCTGAATGCTAATGCTGCTCTGTGGCTGCTGGATGTGAAACTAGTTGACTGTGTGCAAACAGCAACAAGATTCAAGATT